CATTCAGCAAAACAGGGAACAAGGAGCCCATTGTGATGTAATAGGTAAAATAAGCTGAAACTCTGATGAAAAATTGAATGCCTGTAAAATAAAAATAACTTCCCCAACAAAAACATTAATTCAAAGGGAAACTAGTAACTGTGTAGTAGAAACCTAGGTGGAAAGACCACCTGAATTAAAGGGTCAGCATCACAAGGTCTTAACAAGACAAAATTCTCTTGCCATCTAATTAAAGCTTCCAGGGGTGGAGATCATCGTTGTGGCCAATAGGATGGTATATTATAGATGCATTTGACTTTTGATGGCACAATCATAAAAGACTACATTGGGAGAAGCCAGCTGCCATTTAGTAGGAGTAACCAAGAAGCCTTTAAAAGAAGACCACAGAGTGAGGACATTTTTCTGCTAATATCTAGCACCAATTGCTAGTCACATAATAGGATGCACTTTTAACATTCTTTTTAAGTTGGATTATTATTTATTTATTGTGTGTATGTATGAATGTGTATGTGTGGATATGCATGTAGATAACTAGATTTCTCCATGTGGGTCTTGGGGATTGAGCTTCAGGTCTCCAGACTTGACAGCAAGTGCCTTTAAGTGCTGAGGAATCTCGCAAGCCCAGATGTTCTTATTTTAAAACGGAAATCTCCCTAAAGTATCTTGGAGTGTTGAAGCATCAGGTCAATAACTTCCTGTTCAATGGTTTTAGAAAGAAAAAAGAAAGATTATTTGTACTATAATTGGAACATTCCTCTGAGATTCTTAAAATTTTTGGTTATGCAAAGTAAAAAAATAGTATATTATAGACTGCTCTTGGTTTTAAAAATTTGTCTTTTTAAAAGGGGTACTGATTTTTGTAAGTTTTAGTTAAAAAATATTACCAAGCTGCTTTCAATGTACATTTAAGTGGCTTCTAATACTACTATTAAAAAACATCTAGTCCTTTGTTATTTTGAACAATGCTATTATCTTTTTTTGACATTTTTGTGTCATTATTTAGGTTTTGTTCAAGAATAAATGCCCAGAAATCAAGTTACTGCATGAATGGATGTCAATTTAGCCATGGCATTCTGGGAAGCCTCATACAATGTCTTTAAAAGTAAATGAAATTCATAATTTTGTAGCTATTTTTCCCCACACTTGGAAAGTACTTTCTATAAGAGTGGGAATTTATCTCTTTGATTATCACTGTCCTGAACATTATGGCACTGAATATGTATTTGGAGTAGCAATAATTGCAAGCATTTAGTAAGCACTTGGCTCTGTCCTTAGGAGATGAATTTACTTATTCCTGGAATAGCTCTTACAAAGTAGGTGGTGTGATCCTTTCTGTTGGTGAAGAAACTAAGGCACAGAGAGACTCAGACGCCCTACGTCAGATAGAGCTAGATACCAGACAGTTTTCCTGCAGTTTCCAAGGAGCCACCACTCTGTCCCACTTCTCTCACTGAGTATGTTAATCCATGAACAGATAGTCAACATGTTTCTTGGAGACTTTAACCCGTTACAGACTTCAGGAACCTCTTTTTTCCTTGCTAAATAAAAGTATTGAGAATGACCCACACTCTCTAAGATCTTAGTTTTATGGTCCTCCAGTGCAGCCCCGACTTACTACCTAATGATCTGCTTCTAGAATTAATACCCATACAGGCATAAACTATAAATCATCCTTAGCCAGGGAAATTATGGAGATATAAACAGTATATGTGCTTTGTGTCTCAGATAAAATGGTGCATCCGGGCTTCCTGTCTCCAGGAGACAGCTTTTATTACTGTGCCTCAAACACATCATGTCCTCTGCCCCATCTGGGCCCTTTGCTCGTGCTGTCCCTGTACCTTCAACTGTGCCTTCTGTTGAAGATGCTGTCCAGCTTTTCATCTCCTTTCATCTTGAAGATGCCTCCATTTCTCAGATCCCTGAATCTCTTTTATGGTCTTTTCTAGGAATAGTTTTTCCATCAGTTGTGTGAAATTCTCGTTTCCTTAATAAATTATCTTCTCTTTTTAGGTTTAGTCATCTTATAAACCAAATTATGTATCATAATGTTTTGTGCAATATACAAAATTAAATATTTTTGAATGAATAAATGCATTATCTCAGGAACATATAATTTGAATTTTAAAAATCTTAAGACAAAAATTTGAATATTACATAGTCTACATTAATAGGAATTATGCAATAAAAATGAAATGGTAATGGTTAAACATATTTATTTCTGTGTTATAATTTGTATTCCATCTTTGAAAGGTTTTAAGAATTACAATTAGCTTTCATTTATATAGTGAAAGGTATTGTTTTTATAGTTATAGATATCATCCTTGCTTCTACCCACAGCTTCAATTCTCTTTTTTGTAAGTGGGTGTTTTAGGAACATCAAAGGGAATAAAAATCAATCAGTTAAGTGGAATTTTATTTCCAAGGCTGGTACTTAAGGGTGTATTCCTGTTACAGAATTTCAATAATAAGTTTGTTTTCAAGCGTTTTTTCAAGCGTTTTGTTTAATACCAAGCCCCCTTGGCAGGTAAAACAAGGACTGTCCTTGAATGCTGTTCTAAATGAAATAGAATTCCTTTCCTAATATATATATATATATTTAAAAAGAGAACTTTGGGGAATATACTATGTTGTCACTTGACAGGACTGTACTTGGTTGGTAGCAAAGACAATAGCACAGCCTTCAACACCAACACCCCCAGCCCCAGGAGGCCTTTTCCTTTACCAAGAATAAGAACTTAGCTGAAGGGTTTTGTTGCTGATCTCAAACAGGGAGCCAAAGGCAAAGATCAAACAAACATTATCAGTCTTTTGAAAATGTCATTGCTTATGTACATCACCTGTGATCCTTGGGTGCTGGTGAGCCTCCAGCACCCCTGAGGTAGCTGGATATTAAACTGTAGTCTATTTATATTTGATATATGGTGTTTAACTTAGATAGTGCTGGCCATGATGAATATTATTCAGTTCACTGTTAGTGTTTATGTTCTTGGTTTTACACACACACACACACACACACACACACACACACACACACACACACGGCTTAGCTTCACTATACTATGATTCCTAGAGAGCAATTTTAAAGGCTAACATAGTATTGTGGAGAATGTCTTATCCACTTATCATTCATTTTTTGGTACTAGCAATTGAACTCAGAGCTCCCAGCTACACATAAGCTGTACCATGAACCCACTGTCCCCCAGCTCCTGATCTTCATTATATGCAAGGGTACTTATTCATCAGATAAACTTACTTGGTATTCTCTGGGCCATATTTATAATTATAGATTAAAATGAAGATTTAGAACTCTGTTTTGGAGAAGTTATTTCCACAATGTGAATGATATATTTTAAATTAATGCCGACTATCATTTTCAGATTTAGTACATAATCTGACAAATGTTCAGAGCAACTGGTAAAGTCAAAGCATGAGTATGTTAGAGTTTAGCCTTGTTGGTCTTGGGACATCACACTTTTTTTATGTGGCTTCTGCAGACAACAAAGGGAAATTTCCCCTAAGCCTGAAGGACCCTCGAAGAAATTGACCAAGATCAGCCTGGGGGGAAAAGCATACAAATTTAGACACTTGTGAAGGGGGGATGGGGGGAAATCATAGTATAGGGGACAAAGACATGATTGAGACTATCCAGAAACACTCAGAAGCATGCCTCTTTTTCTGTAAGAGAGGTGGTGTTTGCAGAATGCAGACTGTAAATTTTTATTGAATATAATTAAGGCTCCAGGAAACAATCCCTTTGGTATTTGCATGTGCTTGGGATATGATCTGGTCATGGGAGTCTGTCCGGTATGGTTGCATTCTTGCTTTCCATAGTGAGGTAGTAGGTTTTCAGGCTCAGCATGGAAGACAGCTGCGTATCCCTTTCTGCAGCTGAGTGTCATACCTGGGGGAGGGGGGAGTGTGTGGAGTGGAGGAGGAAACATAAGAGGGCCTTGATCTAGAACCTTCTTTAAAGGCCGTCAAATTCCCTTTTGATAATTTTTTTTTTATCAGCTTAACAGTCAGCCATAGTTTTATGGTATCCTTCCTTCCCTGAGCCCTCACCTCTCCTGTTTATATTAATAGGAAGTTCTTGACCATAGTCTTTCTAGACATACTTTATTTGGAGAATGGCTAAGATCCTCCCCACTCCACTCCGCACCCTTCTAATTCTGTTATCAGTTTCTAAACTTTATATAGGATAGAGCATCTTTGGGAATACATGCCGCTATCAGGAAGAAATCATTGCTTTGTATATTAGATGCCAGATTTTCAATGGGCGTTTGCAAAGCACCTATCATGTTAACTGTGGAGTTTTAGTTTGTTTTAAAGTAATTCTGAGAACTTACAGAGAAATGTTTGTGCAGGCAGGGGGTAGCTCGCTCTTTCTCTTCTCATCCGTAGCCCTGCGGTGCATATACATGAAATGCCTTTGTTCTCGTCTTTTCTGCCTGATTATTATGGTCTCTAAGTGCTTTGTCTTCGCCCCTCCGGTGTATTCCTTGTGCCTTAGTCAGTGATTGAGTGAATAACTTTGTTTACATCGAACGGAGGTCTGGAGCACGCTTTTTTTTTTTTTTTGGTGAGATGAGAGATGGAGGAAGAAACCCATAAAGTGGGGTGGATAGGAGGGGGAAAGCAGAGGTAAAAATCAAAACAACAATAAAATGAAAACACAAACACAAGCCGGGAGTGGGTGTAGGGGAAGAAGAGCAAGCTAAGGCAGAACAGGGGCTTCACTCGGGGGTCTGTGAAGTCACGGGGGCTTGTCGCGGGGGTGGAGAGAGATCAACAGACCAGCATTTTCCCCAGGCTTGGGCGCAAGCTTGTGAAACTCCTCATGTATTAAAGAACCTCGGCTGGGATTTGCTGAGGACAAATGCTGTAATGTGTTAGTCATCCATTATCGGCTTCTATTTTTGCAGGTTCCGAATGATGACTGACGCGGGTCTGCGCGATAGCCCTCACAGCCCCTGTCATTGGGAGCGATAAGGACCTCGCACGTCCGGCAGGGCAGCCGCACCGGGGCTCAAGGCGCTCTGGAGGGCGGGCGGCTCCCGCGGGCGGAGCGGACTCCAGTGCCGCTTCCCACGCACCGGGACCAGACCTCCCGGACCCGGCTGCCCGCGCGTCGCCCGTCGCTCGGGGCCATGAAGTAGCAGTGGCCGCCAGCCCTGCCCTCCCGCCGGCCCGGCTGCTGCAAGCTGCCCCGGCCCCAGCTCGGACATGGCCGGACGCGCCCGCAGCCTGCTGCTGCTGCTGCTGCTGCTGCTCACCCTGCAAGGCAGCTGCCTGGCCTTCAGAAGCCCACTTTCTGTCTTTAAGAGGTGCGTGTTTGGCTTGTTTGTTTTCCTTTCACCGGAGGAAGGTGTTTGGGGTGGTTTCTGTGCATGCTCCTTAGAAATGTAGTCACTTGTAGTAACCAGGGTCCTTGGGAAAAAAAATCTCTACGAGGCTAGTCTTCTCTACCCAAAACGACTTGGAATTTTAGCCCCAGTAACTTCTCCTCAAGTGCCCCTTGCAGATAAAGCCCCCCCCCCAACGTCCTGTAGCCAAGCTGCCCCCCCTGGCTTTCGGAACTCCAATTAGAAGTTGTGACTTCCAGAACTAATCGCTCCCTCTTGGGGAAATATTTCAGAAACTACCATATAGTTGTTTAGACTCGAATGCCTTCCTGTGTATAACACCTGGAGAAATAAAGTATCAAGATAGATCGGTGGTGGGGAGAAGACCATTGGCTATAATAGCTCACTAGGAAATATCGAGCTGTATACACGTACCTCGTAATTACCAAATGAAATATTTATGTACTTGTACATTTGTAATTCACATCGCAGTCTTTATTTCTTCCTCCCATAACTGTACTTAGCAAGATTGTGGTTAGAGAGGTTTTGTTGTTCATTTCTGATTAGTAATGTTGGACTTTCATAGTTGACAAAATGTGACTGGGTTCCAGGTCATAGCCTTACGACTAGAAAATCAGCGTGCGTGTGAGGATGATAACATCTTCATTAAGTAGAAATAAATATGTATTACAGGCTTTTATTGAGCTGAACTTTAAGTGTGCCCTGCTTAGTCGCTTTGATTGTCCTTTGCTTACAAACTGGCTCTATGTTTCTCATCGACAATAATGTGATTCTGGGTGTCGGGTTGTTACCGAGTTGTGGCATTATAGTTTTTATTGGATCTGCATTAGTAATCCTTAAACTTAAGGTCATAGGACTTATTTCTGCCCTTCCAATTATGTTCAAGGGTGTTAAAATGATCTTCTTTAGGTTTAAAGAAACTACCAGATCCTTCTCCAATGAATGCCTTGGAACCACCAGACCTGTAACTCCCATTGATTCATCAGATTTTGCATTGGATATTCGCATGCCTGGGGTCACACCTAAAGAGGTGCGTGGAACGCTCTACTTTATTATTCTGCTGTTCTGTGTACTGTCCAAAATTGAAGCTTAAGCGAGGAACCTGCATTTATCACTGCAGTAACTTCTTCGCTTTCAGGCTCCCCAGATGAGGCTAGGATACTATAAAAGGGGTAAGACTTCAACACAAAATATTCAGTTAAATTATGTTCATTGAAGTGTTACTCGTATTTTTATTGTGACTTGAAATGGAAACTTGAAATTTTACAGTTTGAGATTCTTTATGGAGAAATGGCCTCTGTAATACAGCATTTAAATATACACTGAAGTAAGGAAAATGTTCTAATGAAGGAAATAACATTGAGCAGCTGCATCTCCCAGATTACCATGTTTGTTAAAATACCCTTCCAAAGCAGCCACAATTAAGATAGAAAATCCTGTTTGCTGCCAAGAATTTGAAAAAGCAAACATTCCACAGTTTGGAAAGTTGGGGAAACTATTCATACAGGTGGTAGGATGGATTTTCTAGAGATATATTTGAAGAAATAACAGCGGTACTCACACGGATGTGTCATGGTTCACGTGAAGTTGGGCAAGGTTGCTAGGCACCCCGTGTCGGAGCACACACAAGAAGCTAACACACACTGCTGTGTGCGCAAGGTGTTTCATTAAGCATGGAAAGGCCAGAATTAATTATGCTCTGCAGCCGGCTAGAGAGGGGATTTATGTATGTCATTAAAAGAGAGCCTTCTGCTTTTGAAGGGCTGCAGACAGGGAGAGGCCTGGACGGGGAAGAGCTGCAGTGGCCGATGACTCATTCTTGCAGATAATGGACTGTTTCCTCTTTTTCCCCTCTTAGCACTGGGAAAAGAAAAGTATTCTATTTATTGAGGAAAATGACTTTTGAAACGGACAACCAGAAGCTCTAGAAAATACACACAGGCCTTTTACTTCAGGGTAAAACCTGACAGTATTTGAAGACTGGGGTATGGTTCTGGGTAACTACTTTACAGCTATGTCAGGAATGGCCCTACTGTCTCCACATCCCCATGTCACCAGGCAGATACCTCTTCTGTACATTTTGTTATTTCTGCCCTGACCCCGAGTTCCATAATCACCTTATGTAGTATTTAATAAGAAACCAAGACCAGAACACAGAACCACAGTCCCTGACCCGAGAAATGAGCTGTTTGTTTCTTACTTTCTCTTCAGTTTTAAAATAGAGTTTTTACTATACTTCTTTAAACTTAGCTGCTTATTTTTTATATGAAGTAATCACTGGTTGGTCTTTTTTTTTTTTTTTTTTTTTTTTTTTTTTGAGATTGTCTCCTTCTACACTGTGGGCTGGCCTAAAGCTCAAGGCAATCCTCCTGCCACAGTTTCCTCACTGTATGAATCAGAGGAATGTGTTACCATGCCCAGCTTCAGTAATTGGTCTTTTAGCTTGTTTCCCACAAGAACATCATGTATACTAGTTTTAATCAAATAATAAATTAGCTCTATTTGGAAATATCCCCTTATCTTTGTTACGGTTTCACAATAGTAGTAGGCATTCTACTGCAACCAGTACTCCCAGAAAGACCAACTAGAAGAGTTGATTTAAAAAACAAATGTGGAAGAGCTCTGTTTTCAAAAGACAAATATTTATTATGATTATCAGAACAATGGTGTGGAAAGAGAGCATGTGGTATTTAAATTGTTGCTGTTTATTTTGCACTCTAGGCACAGGATTTTGCCTCGTGCAATGGCCATTGGTTGGTTTCCTTTGCAGCAGAGTTGCTTTCCTCCTTGCTCTTTCTCTAAGGACATGTGGTTCCCAGGAGCCATCTCCAGATGGGGCATGAATGGGTTGGGGTTAGCAGATGACTAGATCTTGCTTCCCTTCCACAGGGATTGATTCGGAAAAATATACACGTCCTAGAACAGCCCAATCAACTTTCAGGACTTTTGCTAAGAATGCACTTTCCTCTTTTATGTGAGTGACAAGCATGGAGTCCTGGTGTACACTAGCTTTATGAGAAGGTGCCTAGGATAATATAGAGAGACTGAAACAATGGAAGTTCTTGGTGACTTCATCACTTTGGTCACTTTTGCTTATGTTAGCCATTACTGTTTCATCCAAGCTGGGTTGAGGTTTGTCTTAACTTGCAGCTACAACTGTCTAACTGGGTGAGTGATTCAGTTGCTCTGAAACAGCTTAGATCTGGTTAGAATGTCCCATCATCTTCCCTCAACATGCTTGATTCAATGTGTTCTGCATACTGACTCACCTACAGATGATACGTCTTTATAAACATTCATGAAAAATGATAGGCTGCCCATGACAGACAGATAGAAAATCTCTTTCTTCCTCAACTTGGCATTCTTGGTGATGTGGACTCAGAGCTATGATACTGTAAATACTTTTAGTGGGGGGCGGGGGGGGGGAAGCAATCACCCTTGCCTTAAAATGCAGCTAAAACCAGAGTTAACACAGGTAAGAAGAAATGAGGTAAAGGGGGAAGAGTGAAAAGTATCAGAGTGAAGAAACAAAAGGTAAAGGGGACATGAGAGTTGACACAAACAAACAAAATCCAAGGAAGTAAAATGGTCAAGAACAAGAATAAATGGGCAAAATATAGGTTTTCTGGAATAGGGAGAAGAAAATACTTCTTAAATCAAGGAACAGCGAAGAGGGAAGGAAAATGTAAAGCTGGGAAGTATGCTGAGAAGAGTTCCTATCAGTTGTGGCTCAACCAGAAGAACAGAATCCACACAGGAAATAATGGAGAAGCCAGAGCTCAGTGTCAATAGCCAAGGGCTGTCCAAGAAATAGGTCATTCAATCTAGATCTTAGGAACTATTGCTATGTTTTGGAAATGTTGAGAATGGGTATGGATTAAAGCTGGTGGAAGGCTTTTGCTTGAAAAATAAGGCTGTAGGCTAGGGTAAGAAGGCAAGCAGATGTAGAATAGAGGTGGAAGAGACCTTAGGGATAATTCACAATACAACTAACTAACTTCACAGATGGAATACAAACCTTGATTAGTATCTCACCCAAACACACCCTGTTATGTCACGTCTCTGCATTATGGTTCTTCCTGATACTACAGGAGCTTAGAATGTTATTAAAAGTTACTCAATTAAACCTGAACTGATTTGTTTAGGAAAAGAAACTGGGACTCTATTACAATATCTATTGGTGGAAGTATTAAGGCAACTCCATGGAGTTAAAAAGGAGGTTTATTTTGTGGGGTAACTTACAAGTAAAGATATAGGTTACAGGGTCCAGGAGAGGTGAAGTGCAGTCCAGCAGTGTTCTCTAGAGAACTCTACTCGGTCTACATCCAGCATCCAGGATCCAGGAACCAAGAGGGCCGGCACATCCAGATCTCCAGTCTTAAGGGCTCCTGTCTCGCTCCTGCCTCGTAGGCATGAGAGTTACCAAAAGCCTCAGTGGGGGTAGTACTTCCAGGACAAAGCTGGAATAGCGAACCAGTACAAATATTAGTTTTTAAATTTTATTTATAATTGTTAGTATGTGTATCAAAAAGGGGAAGGGAAGGGAGGGGAGGGGAGGGGAGGGGAGGGGAGGGGAGGGGAAATGCATGTGTGTCTGAGTCAGAGGACAGCTTTCAGGAACTGATGCTTTCCTTCCACTGTGGTGCTGTCAATAAAACTCATTGTGAGGTTTGTGAGGCAAGCACCTTTGACCTGCTAAACGCCCCCCCCACACACAACCTAAAGTAGAAAACAGTATTTTTGTGTGTTCTAGGCTGTAATGGTCTTCATATTATCAACACAAAATTCTTCAAGTAGATTCTGAGGGATTAGTTGATCAGTGCTTTGTATCCACCTGGGACTGTGTTCAGTCTTCAGTGACA